AAAGACTGGTTTTGCTTTGAGATCCTCAGGCCCAGGGATGATGAGGTAGGAAGATTTGGGGTGTCACTATAGTACAGACAGTCCCCGACTTGTGATTGTTTGGCTTCTGATTTTTTGGCATTATGACCACATGAAAGTAATACATTTGGTAGAAACTATACTTCTAGTACCCATACAACTGTTCTATTTTTCACTTTTAGTATAGTATTCAATAAATTCCATGAACTATGCAGCTTTATTATGAAATAGGCTTTACATTAGATGATTTTGCTTAACTGTAGGCTGATATAAGTGTTCTGAGCGCATTTAAGGTAGGCTAGGCTGAGCTATGACGTTCGGTACATGAGGTGTATTCAATGCATTTTTGACTTACGATAGTTTCAACTTACAACGGGCTTAATGGGACATAACCCCATGATAAATTGAGGTGCATCTGTATTTTATTGCTTTGTATTAATACAGGCTCTCTTTAAGCCACTTGGGACATTTTCCAGGTCTCATCACCTTAATCTGCAACCCCTTCCCATCCCTATGGGGTAAGGATGAGCCATGGGAGGGTCTCTTCCACTCACAAATGAGGAAACTGAGTCCCAGAGGGGGTCACAGAGCTTAGGACTTCTACACAGAGAACTCAGGAATGCAGCCTCCAGCTTAGCCCCCAGACCCAGGCCAAGGGCCTGGTGGCCGTCCTTCTGGAGCCAAATTGCCTGACGTGAGTACCAGGCCAGGGTCCAGAGGCATCTGATTCCTGGAATTAGCCCATTTGCCCTTGGTACTCACCCCTCAGTCTTCCAAGTTTCTAGGGTTCCCCAGTGGGGCCCTAGTTATTTGGCAGCTCCAAGGTTAGAGAAGGGACAGGGAGCCTGCCTAGACCATCTGGGACCCCGGCTGATTTCTGGGAAGGGGATGATCAGGTTTCAGTCCTTCTCTTTTATTACAGAAAGGCTCTGGCTTGAAGCTGCCTCACTCCCACCCCCTCTCTCCGCCTCAGAAATTGATTCTTGGCAGCCTCTTGGATCTAGGATGGTACTAGGGAGTGAACATAACTGGACACTGAGCCCCACTGAGGTGGGGACAAATGCCCATTGTCTTCAATCACAATCCTGAAACATCAAGGCACCATTCTTCTCCCCAGAGGCCACCCTGCTCTACACTGAGGGCCTGCCTGATACCTGAACACCACCTTCATTGGCTCTTGAAGACGATTCCCTCTGTAGTTCCTCTCCCCCTCCCCCTCCCCCAGGCAGTCTGCCCTCCACCCTTCACACAAGGAAAAGCTTAGCTTGGAGGTCACCAGCTCCCCTCCTTTCCTCCCCACCACCGTTTGACACCAGGCTCTGCCTTGCTACAGTCTGAACCAACTCCCCAACCCCAAACTTTGGGTCCTCTCAACTGGAGACAGGCAGGTTTGGGAGTTTCCACCCTTCTCTCCCCATCCCAGAGAGCTAAGCCCCTCAGCCCTCTGTGGGGTCAACGAGGCAGCTCCGGTGGCCCATGCCCAGTAGACACAGCCTTGGGCAGGTCCCTCTGCCTGCTGACTCTTCCTCTCTCAATCAGGTCTCCCAGGAAGAGCTGCGACTTAGGACTCAGGAGATCAATGCAGAATCTCCCTTCCACCATGAACTCATAGATGACTTTAAGGCCCTCAATGCTTTTGACTCTGCATTTCCCTAACTGGGAAGTGGAGGTATTCTCTCCTGACTTCCAAGGTTGCTGAAAGGCTCCTGTGTCAGTGTGCTTTGAGAAATGGCAACTGCTGAGCAGGAATAAGGGACCAAAGCTCAGCTTCTCCTCCTCTCCTGCCCTCCCCCACCTGCTCTCCTCCCCACTCTTGCCCCTCCTCCCACCTCCCTAGCCATCTCAGGGCTGTTTGGTTCCTCTTGAGGAGCAACTAAGAGGGCTTCTGTGGGCAGTCAGCTTCTGGGACAGTGTGATGGCTTCCAGGTCTGGGGAGGACACAGACCAGCTAAGTCAGGCCCAACAAGTAAAGCTTTGACCTTGAAAAGGGTTCTGTGCCTTCTGCTATTCTGTGCCCTGACACTCCCTTGCCCTCCCTGGCCAAGTCCCTCTCTCAGTCTGACATATACACACACACACACACACACACACACACACACACACGGTCCCTTCCTCTCTCACCCTGCTTCCAGTCCCTCAGCAGGGCTCTCTACCACATGGGCCAGTTGCATTTTGTCCATATCCCTCCTTGGTGCCTGCCATGGTGCCTGCCAAAAATTTATTAAATTTTTCCCTTATTGTCTCTCTTGCCCCATTCCCTGGGGTAGGGCCTTTGACAGCCTCAGTCCCACACTGAGGACCGGGTGGCACACTCCCTTTGCAGAGTGAGGCTGCCTGGTCAGCTTCTGCACCCACCCAGCCATCCCCACCTTCAGGAGGGGCTCCCAGGGGAAAAGGCCGCTCTTCTTTTGCCCTTGTCTAGTCTCCTGATTGTCCCTGCAAAGCCCATTTGCGGCCTTCTGCGTGAGGATCGGTTCTCCAAAGGCCCAAATCCTTGCCCCTGTTAGAGGACTCTCATCTTAGCCCACACAGGAGTCGAGGGTCCCTGGGAAGACTGCAGCAGGCCAAATTGGTCTCCTCCAGCTTCGCATTCTCCAGGGCCGCCGGGCGAGCTCTTGGATCTTTCCCACCCGCCCAGCCCGTCACTCGGCCCCGCCCCTTCACACGCGCATGGGCACGCCCCTTCCCAGCCCCCAGCGGGCGGGCAGCCTGCCGGGTACCCAGGAAGCTCGGGTCCCTCGGCACCGGAGGACCCACATCCCAGCCACCGCAACAAGTCCGCGCAGCCAAAGCAGCTCGCCTGGGCTCCAGGCCTCTCCGTCCTTGTTCCGTGGCCCCAACAGGGCCCGTGCCAGTTCCCGAGGCATGGCCGCCTGGCGTCCGGCACATCCCAGATCTATCCTTCTCTGAGGGCAGGGACTTTCCGGGGAGAGAAACAGCAGTTCTGGGGCCCGCTTCGGGTGTTTTTGCATAGACTCTTCAGGCACGGAGAACAATGGAGCAGCTCTGCGTGCTTCCTCCACTCGAGCAAGCTTTGTTCCTCCCTTCCCGCCTGCTCGGCTTCCATTAGCCACAGGGCAAAGGCTTCCCGGTCAAACAGGAGTCTCGGCGCTAAAGCCCCGAGCTTTCCACACGCCCTAAAAGACCTGTGGGTGTAGGGGTTGGGGCCAGAGCTGGGGCTGAGGTATAGGACGTGCGCCCAGATGCGCGCAGCTGGCAGCCCGCCCACCCCCGGCCCTAGACGCTTCTCTTGGCCAGAATCCTCACACCGCGGGGAAATCCGACTCGCGTTCCCACTCGGGATCCACAGAGGAAGTGGAGCCTCAGCTGTGTTCCGGGGCCAACCAGCCCTCACATCTGCTCTCCCACATCTGTTCTCTAGATCCGGGCTCTCGCTGGACGCTCCCCTTGCAATGCGGGATGCTCCCGTCAAGCGCAGGCCACACCACAACGGAGGTTTCCACCAGTCCCAGGTTTTGCCATATTGGGATTCTGGCTCTATTTCTGAGAGCCGGTGACCCCCCTTCCCCCCCCCCCACCCATTGTCCAGCTCACCTCAGGCAGGCCAGGGTCAAGCCCGGGTCCCGCCTGTAATGTCTTTAAGAAGGTACACTTGAGCCATGCGCATCTGGAGGTGGGCCAGCTCAGCACATCTGGGCGCAATGCCCATCACAGCCTGATCGTGAACAGGAGGGCCCTCCGAGAAGGCGCAAGGGGAGGGGGCTTCTCTTTCCCCACACCTTCCCCAGCAGCTGGTTAGAAGAAAGCCAGGGGCGGGGCGGGGCGGGGCGGCAGGACTTACCCAGCATCTGGCTGAAGAGCAGCTGCTCCAGGTCTCCCAGCACTGTCACCACCAGCTCGGGGTCCACCTTGAGGAAGGCGCGCTCCTCCTGGCCCTTGGCGGAGGGGACGGGCCCAGAGCTCTTTTGCGCCTTGGCCTTGCTGGAGAGCAGCTCGTCGTCGGATTTGCCATCTTCGCTCACGGCAGCCTCAGGCGCCTTGCTGAGCGGCTTGACCTCCGCATAGGGTCCTCGAGGGATCCGGCTCGGCTTTCCCAGGCTGGGCGCAAGTGGAGCCAGGGGGGTCTTGGCGCCGCCCGCCGGGCTGCCCTTGGCCTGGAAGAGCGAGTGCTCCGACTTGGACAGCGTCTTGGACATCAGCGGAGCTTCACGGCCCTTGGACCCCACCTTGCCTAAGCCTTTGGGCGCCTTGGCCATATCGTCGCTCCACTCGGGCTCATAAAGCTGCAGCTTTTTCTCGGAGTCCGTGAGAAAAGAGAGGTTGGTGAGCGACTTCTGCTTGCGCAGGTTGGAGGCTGGCGGCCCACCGGGGACACGGCTGTCCACACTGCCGGACTTGAAGACCTTCAGCTCAGCCGCGCTGGCCTTGGCCATG